TTTATTTAGAAATATCTAACTATATGTTATCTTTACCTAAAAAGGAGATATGTTGTCTACAAAAGACTTATATTTGATCCAATGACACAAGTTGAAAGTAAAAAGTGGGAAAAGATATTTTATGCAGATAGTAACCACGGGGAGCTGAGTTGGTTATGCTGATATCAGACAAAATGAACTACAAGTAAAAATTTTTTATAAGAGATTGTCTTTTATAATGATATAAGGGAGGTAGCTCTGGTGACCTAGTGGCAAAAAGCTGTGCTGCAATCCTGAAGAAACATGGTATGAATCCACCAGATGCTCCTCTGGGGAAGTAAGGGCAATCTCCTCCTGTGCCAGTCGGATCCAGTTCAATGGTACATAACAAGAAAAAAAGAAATAATTATATAAGGATGCATTAAAAAAGATAGAACTACTAAGAACATATATGCACCAGAAGCAGAGTTCCAAAATAATGTGAAACAAAGTTACAGAATTGAAGGGAAAGATAGTGTTACAGTAATAGTTGGAAACTTTTAATACCTTCAGTAATAGGAGATATAGACAGATCAACAAGGAAACGATAAGACAGAGAACTTGAGCAACACTGTAACTAGATTTAACACATATATGGGACATCACCAACAGCAGAATACATTCTTCTTAAAATAACTTTAAGGTGAATGAAAACATACCAAACAGTGAGAGCAGTTCATTAGAACAGAATTAAGAATTCCAAAGTAAGCCTTTACCTTAGTAAATTGGTTTAAAAAAAAAAATGCAACTTATGAAAGGATAGTGCTTTCTACAGATGGTACTGGGTAAATTAGGTACTTATATGCAAATATAGTGAATCATAACCATAGAATAGATATAAAAACATTTTAATAAAATAAATGCTGGGAAGAATGTGGAACTTAAGGTGATAAATGTGAAGAAGTACTGGATCATTCGCTGATTCATTATCAAAGATCTAAAAATTTTTCATTAGTTAACAGAAAAGCAAAATAGGATCTTCTAGATATTATGCAAGTATGAGATAAAAGCTTGGGAAAACTATCAAACACAAATAATTTAGCATAAATAACTGCAGAGCTCAAAGTTGTCATCTAGATTGTTTCCTGGAGTTTGCCAAGAATTACTAATCTTCCCCCAAAATTATCAACACTTGCATCTTTATTATTCCAAGGATTAAAAAGATATTTTGATTATCACCTATGTTTGCAATGTAAGATAAATCTAATAATTTCTCATTTTAGCTCCATTTTCAAAACTAATAACTGATAGTTTGGTTCTTAAGCAAATTTACCTATGTCAACTATTTACAAACATCTGTTTTCATTATATTTCAGTCTGAAAGGATAGTAAAAAATTGCATAGAGTATACTTTTCTATTTTAAAATTAGTGCATAAAGTATACTTTTCTATTTTAAAATTAGTGAATAGCTACTATATGTACTTTTTCTATAATAAAATTGCAGATATTTTCAGATCCCAAAGCAAAAGTAGTTGAAATAACATATCTTATTCCACTGGGTGGGCAGGGAGGAAAATGTGCAACAATGAATGAATGGATATCCAAGTTCTTTATAAACTTACAATAAAATCTCAATTAAAAAATTTAAAAATAAGAAAAAAATTGTACCTTGCTCCACTCAACTGTAAACATTTAAAATAAAAGGGTGACCTGTCAGAGTGCAGAAATTAGCAGACAGTATCACTAGTATCACATGCAAGCAAAATCCTGTTGAAGATTATCCAAAAATGACAAGAACAGTACATCAACAGAGAAATACCAGAAATACAGTCCAGGTTTGGAAGAAAGAGTGGCACCAGAGACATTAGCCCCAATGCCAGATGGATCTTGGGTGAAAGCAAAGAGTGCAAGAGGAATATCTTAATCTGTTTCATTGACTATGCGTAGGTATTTGACTCTGGATCACAACAAATTGTGGCTAACCTTGAAAAGAATGGGAATCCCAGAATGCTTGATTGTGTTCATGTGAAACCTATATGTGGACGAGGAAGCAGTCCTTAGAGCTAGGAAACACTGCATAGTTCAAAATCAGGAAATGAGTGCATCAGGGATGTGTCCTGTCTCTATACCTTTTCAGTTTACATGTGGGAGGCTGGACTTTATGAGAAGGAATGTGACATCAGGATTGGAGGAAGACTTGTCAGCAACCTGTAGCAGCTAACACAACCTTGCATGCTGAAACTGAGAACCTGAAGCATTTGCTGCAGAAGGTCAAGGACATCAGTCTTCAGTATGAATTGAAACTCAACATCAAGAAAATAAAGATTCTCACCAATGGGTCAATTGGAAGCACCATGATAGATACAGAAAATATTGACAGGGTTAACAGTTTCAGCTTGCACTCTTGTACCATCAGTCGAGAAATCAAAAGACAAAGTGCTCTGGGGAAAGCTGCTGTCAGGGACTTCTGAAAAGTGCTGAAGAGCAAAAGTGTCAGTTTGGAGACTAGGGTAGGACTGATTAAAGCCATATTCTTTGCAATTACTTGCTATGCATCAGAGAGCTGGGCAATGACCAAAGAGGACAGAAGAATTGATGCCTTTGAATTTTGGTGCTGGAGAAGAGAATGAAACAAAGTGCCAAAATCATTAACAGGGTTTATCCAGGAGAGGGTGAAACCAAGCTGTTCCTTGGAGACAAGGATTTTGAAGCTCTGTCTCATATACATTGGCATGTGACTAGGAGGGACCAGACCCTGGAGAAAGACATCATGCTTGGAAGGGTGGAGGGACAGCCCAAGAGAAGAAGACCCCAGATGAGATGGATTGACACAGTAACTGGGGGAAAAGGGTAGATGTGTCAGAGACTGTGAGACTAACTCAGGATAGAGCAGAATTCAGAGCTGCTGTCCATAGGCTCACTATCAGTTGCAGGCAACTCAATGGCACATAATAACAACAACATCCTTTAAATTTGAGATTTAATGAATTCAGGTATTTGCTATGTCAAGGGTGTCAGTGCAACAAAGAGAAAAGTTCTTAATTCTCTTGACAGATGTAAAAAAACCTCTACATTGTTGTGCACACCCATGTTTATTGTGGCTTTGTTCGCTGGAAACAACCCAAGTGCCCATCAACAAACGAATGGATAGAGAAGCTCTGGTATATCCACAAAATGGAATACTATGCAGCATTGAAAAACAAAGAACTCATGAAAGATTATGCAAAATGGGTGACCCTGGAGGACATTATTCTGAGTGAACTATCTCAGTCACAAAAGAACAAATATTGCATAGGGCCACTCTTGTAAAACGGGACTGACATCAGGGTTTAGAGAAGACAGAAGGGGGGCTCTGGTGGCCTAGTGGCAAGGAGTTGCAACTACAATCCCAGAGGCTCACGATTTGAATCCACCAGATGCTGTGCCGGGGAAGGAGGGACAATTTCCTCCTGTACCAGTCAGATCTGATTTGACGGTACACACACACACACACACACACACGAGAAGACAGAAAAGGAGGGGAGGAATGAGGTATATTGCATTGATACAGGTGAGGGAAAGATCTGTTTAAAAGGGATATATGAATGGGTATTGTCATTACAGACGTCCAGAGTGAAGCCTGCATAGTGGAGTGGACTTGGGGGAGGGATTGCATAACAATGAAAGAGTTTTTCTTTTCAAGGAGAAGAGTGAATTTGGTGGAGGGGTGGGCAGGGAGAAAAGTACAACAATGAATGACTGGAAACCCTAAATCTCTGTAAACTTTCATTAAAAAGAATAAAAAAATTAAGTAACACTTCACCAAAGAAGACGTTCAGATGGCCAACAAGCACATGAAGAAATGTTCAAAATCCCTAGCTCTAAGGGAGATGCAAATCAAAACAACTATGAGATACCACACACCATCTCACCCCAGTCAGAATAGCAAAATTTAACAGAACAGCAAGCAACAAATGCTGGCGAGGTTGTAGAGAAACTGGAACCCTTATTTACTGTTGGTGGAAGTGTAAAATGGTGCAACCACTGTGGAAGGCGGTATGGCACTTTCTCAAAAAGTTGCAAATAGAGGTACCATTTGACCCAGCAATTCCACTACTGGGAATATATCCCAAAGAGACCATAACTGACATCCAAGCAGATATATGCACACCCATGTTTATCGTGGCTCTGTTCACAATAGCAAGGAGTTGGAAACAACCCAGGTGCCCATCAACAAACAATGGATAGAGAAGCTGTGGTATATTCAGACAATGGAATACTACACTGCATTGAAAAACGAACTCATGCAATAGTATTCAAAATGGGTGAGCCTGAAGGACATGCTGAGTGAAATATCTCAGTCGCAAAAGGACAAATAATGCACGGTGCCACTGCTGTAAAATGGGACTGATATCAGGGTTGGGGTAAGACAAAAAAACTGGATAAATTGTGTACACCGCACTGAAACAGATGAGGGAGAGAATAATTTCAAAGCAATGTATGATAGGGTATTATCATTATCATAAGAGTCCACAATTAAGGTTGTATAGTGTAATGTACTTGGGGTGGTGGGAGGGATGTGGGGGGATTGTGTACCAGGGAGTGTTTCTTTTACTTTAAAAAGAGAGGAGTGAACTGGGGTGGAGGGGAGGGCTGGGCGGGGAGAGAAGTGCAGCAATGAATGAATGGAAATCCAACATCTCTGTCAATGTTCATTAAAATTATTTTTTAAAAAAGAAAATAGCAAAAAAAAATTAAGTAAGAAACCCCCAAACCCTACCTTGTTGAAAATCAGAAATCTTGGCAAGGATCACTGAGAATTTGAATATTCACTTTTGCTAACCTAAAGTAGTTCTCAAAAAAATTAAGTAAAAAAAAGAACAAAACCCAAAACCCTACCTTGTTGAAAATTAGAAATCTTGGCAAGGACCACTGAGAATGTGAATATTCACTTTTGTTAACCTAAAGTAGTGCTCAACATATGCAAGAATCTAGTAAATAGTTCTTGAATGGTTAAATGCTTAGTAGAGACTGGCCTGAATCTGTCTTCTCGCATCTGCAGTGCCCACCGAAGGTTCCTATTTTACCAGTTCCAGAGTGGGAGGTAAACGAGTTATCAAGGAATTCACTGTCATGTTGCAAGGACCAGATGATAACACACTGCTCTTTGAATCGAGGTTTGAGAGTGGAAATCTGCAAAAAGCTGTCAGAGTGTGAGTAGGAAAGAGGACTTTCCTAAGGGGAGGGTGATTGGATGAGTGACACAGAGATATCTTCAGGAATGATATGAAAAGTCATGAATATTTGCAAAAAAAAGGAGGTGATCAAAAGAAGTGACAGTAAATGCTTATGAGAAGTAGAACAATGAAATCATTGTAAAGCATACACATTTTGCCCCAAGGAAAATATTTCCTGAAGTATTTCTTCTGAGATTATATATATATGTATGGTTTTTTTAAACTCATTGCAATCAAGTCACAGTCTACTCATAGCTGACACTCTGTTAGGTTTCTAAGGCTGTAAATTGCACTGTTGGAGACTGCCCATCTTTGTCCCTCAGAGCTGTTGGTGGATTCAGACTGCCCTAGAGACATGACCTTTGGGTTAGCAGCTCATCTCACTACAAGTTATGCCACCAGAGCTCCCTTTACTGACAAATGAAACAGCTGTTCATTTAAAATACTTATTAAAAAGCTCAAGCCTTCCTGGAATAAAACACCTATGTGGCTGAACTTTCAACCAATTAAGCCTGTAAGGTGAACAATAACTGCAGGGAGGCACCACTCCTTAGAATAGCCCAACAGGTATGGTCAAAAGGGCAGCATTTGCCTAAGTATAAATGAGGAAGAGATAGAATTATGATTAACAGAAGTGAAGATTACAGGTAGGGAATGGGAAAAGCACAGTTACCTTTTGGATATTGTAGTGTGTATGGGTAGTTGAATGAAAAACAAAATTTTTTTTAAACTTTCATTCAAATTGTCATTTTTAAAAAAAGAATTGGGGGCAGGGAAGCCCACATAAGCCCTGTAATTATTATACCTACCTGACAGAGCTCCTCTTGACCATGTGGCATATACACCTTTCTCTCCCTATGTGTTTATAGGCACATGGTTCGAATATACCACATGTTTTGCAGGGAAAGGATGGGCAGTCTCCTCCTGTTTGATTTACTACCTCTGAAAACCCACTAGTGGGTCAGCTATGGGTCGGTTCTGACTCAACGGCAAACACACATGTAATATAGGGAACACTGGTGGCATAGTCCCTAGGGAGTTGCACTGCTAACCCAAAGACCATGCCTCCCTGACAATTTGAATCCACCAGCACCTCTGAGGGAGAAAGGTGGGCGATCTCCTCCCTTGAGATATCTCTCCCTCTCCCCTTGAGTCAGAAGCAACCTGTGCAGTTTACAGCCTCAGAAACCATTGGAGGACAGCTGTGAGTCGGTTCTAGGTTGACAACAATCAGAGACTGAAATACATAAGTACAAGTATGTGTTTTAAAATAGAATGTTACACAGACCATTTCACAAATTGCTTTGTTTTCCCTTTAAGGTTTTTCCCTCAGACTCATTGCCACTGAGCAGAATGAACTAAGAGCCAATCCTCTAGCAGACTTTTGTAAATCGCACAGGAGCTTGTCCTCTCTCTCTCTCTGAGTGGTGGGTTTGAGCTGCCAGGGAGGAGGCATCTCCCTGCAGACTCCACCACCACGGCGCCCCAGTTGTTTCTAATAGTGTATGTTCTTCTATTGTATGTGTGCAGGGATGTTCCATACTTCATTTACCTTGTAGTCAACTGATAGGAACTGGAAATGTTTCTCATTTTTACTTTAATGAGTTAATAGGATCAATAAAAATTACACAGTTTTTAAATAGTATAGTTGTAGTTGTTATGGGATAAATTCCTAGAAGTGAAATTGTTGAGTCAAAGGGTTTGAAAATTTTTAAGTATTACTAGTTATTGCCAAATTGTCCTCCAGTGAGATTTCTGTGCCCATCATGAGAATGAGTGCCTTTCCCCCCAAAACTTGCCTACCAAGCAGATGGGGAGAGAGGGAGAAGGGAGGAATGACATCCCTTTCCATTTGCATTTTAATTCTGCCTATGAATATGTCTCTCCTCATGTTAGTGGTTTTCTGTCTTTCCTCCTCTTCAAATTGATCAGTCCATTCCAGAGATAGTCCCTCATCTGCAGTCAATTAATTGATGAGCCAAGATAAAATTATACCTGGAGACTTTAGGGTCTCTGTAGGTGGTGGTGATCTCTAGGAGGGAGCTGACAGCTTACAGGGCTTCAGCCCCTCTACTGTGAGCCAGGTTTGAGAGCAAAGTAGTAAAGTGATTAGAAACCACCACTGACAATCTGGGAGAGAACCCAGAAGCTCAGAGCTTCAGAAGCTCGGAACCCAGCTCCCTCTTCATAGCAGTATACATTTTTGGGACCCTCCCTGTACTATCCAGATTGCACTTTCCTTTTTTAAGTTTTTGCCAGCATGTTTGAGAACTAGGTACACTAGAAGATAATAAGTGTTTGATCTCAAAGGTCTTTCTGTAGTAAAAAAGCAATATTTTCTCAGCTTTTTTTTTAAGCATGTCAGATTATAGATATGTTCTTCAATGTTTCTCCATTACAGCAACACATATGAATATGAACTAACTTTGCGACCTGATCTCTACACAAATAAGCATACTCAATGGTTTTATTTTCGAGTTCAAAACACCAGGAAGGATGTCACTTACAGATTCACCATTGTCAATTTGCTAAAGCCCAAGAGCCTTTACACTACAGGCATGAAGCCACTCATGTACTCCCAGCTGGATGCCGATGTCCATAACATTGGCTGGAGGAGAGGAGGAAATGAAATCAAGTACTATAAGAACAATTCAGATGACAGGCAACAGCCCTTCTACTGTCTCACATGGACCATTCAGTTTCCTCACGACCAGGACACTTGCTTCTTTGCACACTTCTATCCGTATACATACACTGATTTGCAGTGCTACCTCTTGTCAGTGGTAAACAACCCAGTGCAATCTCAGTTCTGCAAGCTCCGTACTTTATGCAGGAGCTTAGCAGGAAATACTGTCTACCTGCTCACCATCACCAACCCGTCCCGCAGCCCTAAAGAGGCAGCTGCGAAGAAAGCCGTGGTCTTCAGTGCAAGAGTCCACCCTGGGGAGAGTAATGGCTCTTGGGTTATGAAAGGCTTTTTGGACTTCATCCTTAGCAACTCCCCAGATGCCCAGCTCCTGAGAGACATCTTTATCTTCAAGGTGATACCCATGTTAAATCCTGATGGAGTGATTGTGGGGAATTACCGATGTTCACTGGCTGGAAGGGATTTGAACAGGCATTATAAGACCCTTCTGAAGGAGTCTTTCCCTTGCATCTGGTACACCAGGAACATGATAAAGAGGTAAGTGCTTTTATCCATTCATCTGTATGTGAACACTAAGGAAACACTGGTGGCATTGCTCACTCACAGGTGGTGCCTCCCTGGCAGTTTGAATCCACCAGCCACTCTTCAGGAGAAAGATGAGCAGTCTCTTCCATGTAATCTACAGCTTCAGAAGCCCAGGAGAGGGGAGTTGTGAGTCAGATCTGACTTGAGGGCAATGAGTATTTTTGATAAGTTATCTGGTGAAATGTGAACTTTCTCCCAATCATTCTCTGTGCAGTCATAAAAGTTTATTACTTTTTAAACTTCTAACCCCAGGTTTATCTTTGATTTAAAACTAGGCATGCAACTTTTCAACTAACAGTCATTTCACTGATAAATGAGCTGGTTATAGAGGTCAGGAGAGTTCAATGATTTTCTTTAATCTTCATAGTCACACTGTGAGGTGAGGACATTCACCTCACATTTGACATATGATGAGAAATGATGGTACAGAAATGCTAAGTAACTTGTCCAGTGAGTGCCATACAGCTGGTGACAGAGTGGATGTTTAAACAAGGAGTTCAAATGGATGTTGGTTCAGAGTCTGAGTTCCTTATCATCTTACATTGCCTCTCATGTGGAAAGACAAGCGAGTCAGTGAATCATTTTCAAGCTTTATGTGAAAGCATTTGAACACTCTGACATAACAGAGTGCCCATCTTAGATGACTTCCCTCTCCCTGGAAATACAGTGCAGCTTTTAGGAATGTATGCCTTCTAACCATAGCTTTCAGGAACGATAGGATCAGTATTGGACTGGTTGGCAAAGTTGGCTAAAAGCACATGCAAGAGAGTATGTTTGGGAGTGATGAGGCCCAAGTTTAAGGGGGCTTTGGTGGTCTAGTTCACAGGAGTTATGCTGACAACCCAAAGGCCACACCTCTTTGGTGGTTTAAAACCACCTGTGGCTCCAAAGCAGAAAGGTGGACAATCTCATCTCAAAGGATTTATAGCCTTGGAATCCCAGTGAAGGGTCAACTATAAGCAGATTCCTAGAGACAATGAGATTTTTTTAGTTTAACTCAGAATGGCAATAATTAATTTTTTATAAAATAATTGTTAAGGCAAAACCCAGCATAAGTGATAAGCAAGGGTATTGTATAATGATTAAAGGGCCAATAATTGAACAAGAGGATACTATAATTAATTATACCTCATGGCAGAGCCCCAAGAAAAAGAAATCAAACTTTAACAGACAGGAAGAAAGAGATAAGTGTCTAAAATGGTAGTAGTTATTGTTAGGTAAAGTCGAGTAGACTACAACTCACAGTGACCTATGAACAACAAATCAGAACCTTGCCTAACATCCATCATCATTACAATCTCCTTCATGCTAGTAGTCCCCCGTGTCAGTCCAGCTTGTTGAGGGTCTTCCTTTCTTTCACTGGCCCTCTACCTTTCCCAGCATGATGTCCTTTCCCAAGGACTGGACTCTAATGACAATAAGCCCAAGATATGTTAGATGACATTTCACCTCCTTGACTATGAGGTTGCACTTGGTTGCACCTCCCACTGGACAGATTTGTTTGTTCTTTTGGTAGTCCGTGATATAGTCAATACTTTTCTCCAACACCACTATTTAAAGGCATTAGTTCTTCCTTATTCATGGTCCAACTTTCAGATGCATACAAAGCAATTAAAAATGTCATTGCTTAGATCTGGTGCACTTTAGACTTTAAACTTACAACCTTGCTATTCTAGCACTTTAAAGAGGGCCTTGAGTCTATATACCTTCACTTCCAGAGAGCATCCTGTCTCATCCATTCTTTCTCTCTGACGTATATTTTTTCTATCTTTGCCTTCTTTTTCTTTTTAAATTTTATGCTGGTTTATTTACAAATTTCAAATACATTGTTCTTCACACAAGATCCTTCCCATTTCCTTAACCCCTCCACCCATCAAATTGTTCAACTCCATAATTAACAACCTCCTGCGCATCCTCAGTCTTCTGCTTCCACCTTCCCACCATTGTCTTTGCTTTCACTTTTTTTTAAAAAAGAGGTCCTTGACATCACATTTGTCCAATGTGACAAGTCTTTTGATTTTTTCCTTTTCTAAAATGTTTTTATTAATGATTTTAATGCAACATATATACTTTTTTACAGCATATTCTTTCCATTTAATTCCCCCCCCATTCATTCATTGTTGCACATTTTCCTCCTTGCCCACCTCTCCCCCAAGTCTTTTGATTTCTTGACTGCTGCCTCCCTGGATGTAGATTGTGCCTAACCATATACATAACTGTCTAAACATACATATAACTAAACAAGAGAGAAAAAATTCACTAATTTAATTACCTATTCAGAATCTTTCAGTCAAAAATCATAATCTCAGATTGAGTATGCTCAGAAGCACTGGTTTTGATGATAATTCTAGCCAGTTTTTCCCTACCTTCTCAGGCACTTACTTCTGCCTACATCTACTCCAGCTGGGAGGGAAAGTTTTACGTAAATATATACCACATGTCAGAGTGGTCTCTTCTAAGGTAGCATGTTTCCTTCCCAATCCCGTTTAGTTGTCCACCTCCACCTCATTCTGTTACAATTCTAGCCTTTCTTCATAATCATCATTGTCCTGATCTCTACTTTCATCTTCTTCTTCTTTTTTTTTAAAATTTTATTTTATTATTTTTGCATGAGTGTACTCTGACTGGTACAGGAGGAGATTGTCCCTCCTTCCTCAGCAAAGCATCTGGTGGATTTGAACTGTGCGCCTCTGGGATTGTAGTTGCAGATCCTTGCCACTAGGCCACCAGAGCTCCCCTCATCTTCTTCTTCTGAATCAGTTTTTTTATGTTTGTCTTCATATTTACAAATTTAGAAACATTAATTTTCTGCCTAAATGTAAAAAAAATGCAGATTCCTCTAGTTGCTTCATTATAATTTTGCATTTTTAAAAAAATGATACTCTAAAACTCCTCTAGACCTTAAGGGCAATCTGATGCTGATCCAGAATCTAATTCACTCATAACATGCATCCCCTTCGACAGCTTCTGAAGTATCTCTTTGGCCTTTCTTAGCTGTTTTCTCTTTCTCTTCAGTACTGAAGGCCCTCTTTGCCTCTAAGTAGAACATTTGAAGTTTGACAGATAGTAAAGATGTAGTTTGATACTGATAACTTGCTAAATGAATACACTGAAAATTATTGATAACTGAGTGACAAATTGAGAAAGCGAATCTTGGCTTAAAACAAAGAGTACCAGAGGAATGTCTATCTTTGTTTCATTGACTATGCAAAGGCATTTGGCTGTATTGATCACAATAAACTGGCTAATTCTGAGAAGAATGGGAATTCCAAAACACTTGATTGTGCTGATGTGAAATCTACTCTAGGCATTTGTAAGAACAGAAGAAGAAAACACTGCACAATACAAAATCAGAAAGGGTGTACACCAGGGACATATCCTATCTCCATACCTTTTCAATCTATATGCAGAACAGATCATCTGGGAGGCCAGGCTCTATGAGGTGAAATGTGGCATCAGATTGGAGGAAGACTTACTAACAATCTGCGTTATGCAGATGACACAACCCTGCTTGCTGAAACTGAGGAGGACCTGAAGCACTTGCTGAAGAATGTCAAGGAATGCAGCCTTCAGTATGGATTGAAGTTCAACATCAAAAAAACAAAGATTCTCATCACTGGGCTGATTGACAGCATCATGATAGACAGTGAAGAGATTGAGATTGTTAACAGCTTCAGTTTGCTTGGCTCCTCAGTCAACACTCTTGGTACCAGCAGCCAGAAAATCAAAAGACAAATTGCCTTGGGAAAATCTGCTGTCAAGAACCTCTCCAGATTGCTAAAGAACAATGATATTAGTCTAAAGACTAAGGTGTGTGTGATCCAAGCCATAATCTACTCAGTTTTTGATATGCATCTGAAAGCTGCACAGTGACTAAGGATAGCAGAAGAATTGATACCTTTGAGTTATGCTGGAGAAGAGCATTAAACATCTCATGAACTACTAAGAACAAACAGTTCTGGAGGAAGTGAAAACCAAGTTGTTCCTTGAAAGAAAAGATGGTGAAACTCTATCTCAAATACTTTGGGAATATTGTCAGAAGGGGCCAGTCTTTGGAGAAGGACATCATGCCTGGAAGGGCAGAAGATCAGCACAAGAGAGGAAGATCCTCAGTGAGATGGATTGATACAATGACTATGGCAGTGGGGCCAGATGTGTCAGAGATGGTGAGGTTGATGCAGGATAGGACAAAATTCAGAACCATGGGTTGCAACGATTTGAGGACATATAACAACAACAATCTATAGACAGTTGATCTTTGACAAAGAAGTGACATTTATTAAGTGGAAAAGGGAAGCTTCTTTAACAAATGGTGCTGGTACAACTGTGTTTCTCTTTCCAGAAATGAAAATAAGAGCCATGCTTCACACTATATAAAAAATTAACTCACGATAGATAGATCAAGGACATAGGCATAAAAATCTAAAACTAAAAAGATCAGCGGAGAAAATAATGGGACAGTCTTTTCCTCCACAGAAGAAAAATGAACAGTCTCCTCTTGCACAATTTATAGCCTCTGAAAACCTGCTGGAGGGTCAGTTAAGAATTAGTTCTGATTCAATATCAATGAATTGATGTAATCAATGGTATAAATAGATTATTAATTATAACTGAGAATGTCCAGATAGCAGAGGATAAACTAGATGATAGGGACCTCCTATAAATTAAATCCCCAGAACACTTGATTGTGCTTATGCAAAACCTTGGACCAGGAAGCAGTCCTCAGAACACAGCAAGGAAACACTGCATGTTCAAAATCAGGAAAGGAGTCCATCAGGGATGCATCCTGTCTCCATACCTTTTCAACATATATGCAGAACTAATCATTCAGGAGGGTGGGCTTTATGAGGAGGAATGTGACATCAGGATTGGAGGAAGCCTCATCAACTACCTCCATTATGCAGATGACATAACCTTGCTTGCTGAAACTGAGGAGGACCTGAAGTGATTGCTGCAGTGCTTGCTGCAGAAAGTCAAGGACTGTATTCCACAATATGGATTGAAGCTCAGTATTAGGAAGACAAAGATTCTCACCACTGGACCAATTCACAATGATAGAGAAGAGATTGATGTTGTTAACAAGTACAACTTGCTCAGCTCCTCAATCATCACTCTTGACGCCAGCAATCAGGAAATCAAAAGACTCATTCATTGCATTAGGAAAATCTGCTGTCAGGGACCTCTCCAGAATACTAAGAAGCAACGATGTCAATCTAGAGACCAAGGTGTGCTTGATCCAGGCCATGGTCTTTGCAGTTACTTGCTATGCATCAGAGAGCTAGACAATGACTAAGACAATAACAGGAGAAGAATTTATTTCTTTGCATTGTGGTGCTGGAGAACAGTCATAGACTGCAAAGAAAAGAAATAGATCTGTCTTAGAGAGGGTGAAACCAAGCTAAATTGCAGGTAGTAAGTCACAGAGAAGTGCTGGATCTTGTAGTACTTGGTCCTGGAAAGTCAAGAACCAAGGCTTCTGGCTCTGCCTTTTTCATTCCTGCTGTGACAGCCTCTCTGTCTATCCCCAAAGGTCTGCACCAGGATGAGATTTCTTTCAATGGGTTTTCCCTGCTTCCTTACTAACTCATACATAGTCTGGTCACCAACCCTTTCCTCATCAGGACTTTTTCATATCAAGTCCATCTGACCAGTAGAGGTGAAGGCATTAATGATGTGTTTACAGCAGTGGCTGAGGATGGGGACAGGACTTCTGAGAACAGTTCTTGGACAGACCAGAGATTCAGATGAGATTTCAGCAGACCAAGACCTCAGGGGTGGGAAGAGGCTGTCTTGCAGCACAGTAGTTTACACAGACAGTTGAAGCCAATGAGGAAGAAGATAAAATACTATCTAGGAAGTCTAGTGCAAACAGTATTGAAGGGCATTCACCTTATTCAAATGCTTACTCAATGCTGTAGAATCAAACCGACTCCTAGTTGACCCCCCATTGAGTTTCTGAGGTTAAATAACACAAGAGGAGATTGTCCATCTTTCTCCTGAGGAGCTCTTGTTGGGATCACACCTTTGGATTAGTAGTGCAACTGTTTAACAGCTACATCACCAGAGCGCCCTTTGAATTTGGCATTTAGATTTTCTTAGGAAGAAAGATATGTAATACTGAAGAAATAGATTCTAAAGAATATTGGAATATTGTTGTTATGTACCCTCAAGTTATACTTGATGACAAGTTGGATATCCTCACCAGAAGGTTTTCACAGGCTGTAAATTGCACAGATGAGTTTGCCTGTCTTTGTTCTGTAGAGCAGCTGGTGGATTCATACTGAGTGCCTTTGAGGTGGTACAACTCCTTATCACTTGGCTACCAGAGCTTCCTTGATGTTGATAATTTGAATTACAATAATTTTAGCCAAGAGAACCAAGCATCATACTAAAGAAAGAACTAACTCATCATGATCAAGTAAGATTCCTATCACGTATGCAAAATTCAACATTAGAAAAACATTAGAAAAATCTCTATAATCCCATGATTAGTGACAGGCATTTTGATGTCTATGTTGAGTTCTTTGTGTCCTTTTTCCCACCCCCCCATAGACTTCTTGAAGAAAGGGAGGTTCTCTTGTATTGTGACTTCCATGGCCACAGCCGTAAGAATAATATCTTCTTGTATGGCTGCAATAACAACGATCGCAAATACTGGCTTCATGAGCGAGTCTTTCCCTTAATGTTAAGCAAAAATGCACCAGATAAGGTAAGCTCGTAGGTACTTTTCTTTCTGTGCCCAAATGAAAAGGAAACTCACTGCTACCTGTACTTTGTATCTCTTTATATTACCCTTAAGTAAACACACTGAGACCTGGGAGAGTCAGACTCCAAGGACTACCTTGGCCTGGTCTCATGGGGTGGCACTGACAGGGTGTAATCTTCCTTCTTTTTCACTGCTTATTTTAGTGAAGAATATTTGCATTTTCCATTTCTGGTAGGTTTGTTCCTCATACAGGTTCTCACTTTCTAAGGTTTTATTGTACCAGTAAACTTGACTGCAAGAAGTTGGCAAAGTGTGGCTTTAAAAATGTTCTGTGAGGAAAAAAAGGTAATGTTCTGTCCCCATTGGTTGGTGGTAAGGAATAAACAAAATAGAGTGCAGCCATATAATGGAATGTTGGAATGTTTTTGTTGTTAGGTTTTTAGTCAAGTGTGATTCATAGCAACCCTATGAACAGCCGGCCTGAAACCTGCCCTATCCTTTATCAACCTCATCATCTCTGAGACGCTAGACCATTGCTAAAGTCACAGTGCCAGTCCATCTTGCTGGAGGTCTTCATCTCCTTTGCTGATTCTCCATCTTTCCTCACTACATATCCAAAGTATGAAAGACAAAGCTTTGTCATCCTTTTTTCCAAGGATCACTCTGGCTGCATCTTTTCCTAGACATAGGATATTCACTACTCTTCTCCAGCACCACAACTCAAAGGCATCAGTTCTTCTGTCATCCTTATTCATTGTCCAGCTCTCTGATTCATAACAAGTGATTAGAAGACCATGGCCTGAATTAGAGACACCATAGTCTTCATACTGACATCATTACATTTTGGAGAGGTCCCTGACAGCAGACTTGCCCAGTGCAATACATCTCCTGATTTCGTGACTGCTGGTATCAAAGATGTCAGTTATTGATCCAAGCAAGAGAAATCATTGACAGCTTCAATCTTTTCTCCATCTATCATAATGTTCTGACTACTGCCTCTTGGTCCAAGTATAGGTTTCGTATTAGCACAATTAAATGTTCTGGGATTCCCATTCTTCTCAGAGCCAGCCACAGTTTGTTATGATCCACACAGTCAAATGCCTTTGCATAATCAATGAAACACAGATAGACATTCTTCTGGTATTCTCTGCTTT